ACTCTATTCTTTCATTTTCTGCATCAAGTGTTTCAAGTCCTCCTCTCTCTCAGCAAGCAAGGTTGTGTTATCACCGTAAGGCAGATTATTAGTAAATCTTTCTCTAATCTTCATCCCACATTTTTCTTCATAGAGTCTAGCTTCTTTCATGATTTTCTCAGTGTAGAGATTAAATAGATATGAAGAAGTAATGCAGCACTTTGGTACACACCTTTCCTGATTAGTTATTTTAGATTTGGGGTAGGGTTTTTGTTGTTGTTGTTTTTGCTTGTGATATAAGTGATATTGTTTGATAATTTCCACACTTTGTCAGGTCAGCTTTTTTTGGAATGGGAATAAATATGGATCTCTGCCAGTCAATTGGCCAGTTAGATGTCCTCCAGATTTCTTGTTACAACCTGATGAGCATAGTTTGTGTATAGTTTTTCATAATATTCTATTGTTAACCTTTTTATTTCAGTTAGTTCTGTTAAAACATTGCCCCTTTCATCTCTTATTAAAATTATCTGTGTCTTCTCTTTTGTTAGCTTTGATAGTGGTTTGTGAGTTTTATTGATCTGTTGAAGAACCAAATCCTAGTCTTGTTAATAGTTTCACTTTTTGGCTTTGTTTTCGCCATAATTTTTAAAATTTCCTGTCTTTTAGAGATTGTCAGGGTTTTTGCTGTTCTTTTTCAACTTGCTGGAGATGTTGGGCTAAATAGCACTTTTTCTTCCCTTTTTGATGTCTTTGCTGATTTCTGCGAATTGGACTCTTATTAATGCTTTTGTTGTATTCCAGAGGTTTTGGTAAGTTGTATTTTCATACTCATTTGTTTTAAGAAAATTTTTCAATTCTTTTTCTAAAAAAAGACTTCTGTTACCCACTCATGCTCAAGCAGGGCGTTGTTCAGCCTCCCAAGTGTATGGGTTTTTCTCCTTTGTTGTCTTGGTGTTGATTTCTAATTTTGTAGCACTGTGGTTTGAGAGTATAGTTTTTATTATTTCTATGGTTTCTTAATTTCTTGAGGCTTGCTTTGTGACCTAAAATATGATCTATTCTGGAGAATATTCCATGAGTACTGGAGAAGAATGTATGCTGATTTTTTTGACGTGCATTAACCTGTAGGTGATTGTATACTTTAATTCTTTAGCATCTTTGTTGAATTCTTTTCTGGCAGTTTTATCTTTCCTTGAGAGTGTTGTGCTGAAATCTCTTAGTACTATAGTGGTGTTGTCTATTTCTTTTCCTTTTTTAAATTTTTAGTTCTGTTAACATTTGCCTTGTGTATTTTGCTGGTCTATAATATTCTGCATAGATGTTAATTATGGTTATGTCCTCTTGTTCTGTTGACCCTTTAAGCATTCTAAGGTTTCTTTCCTTGTTCTTTGAATTACCGAAAGCTATTTTAGTGGAGATTAGTGTTGCTACTCCTGTTTTTTTCTGGCTATCATTTGCTTGATATGTTTTTTCTACGCTTTGATTTTCAGTTAGTCTCTATTTTCACTTTTTAAGTGTGTCTCTTGTAGACAGGATATTGATGAGTTTTGGGTTTTAATCCAATCTGTTATTCTTTTTTCTCTTTGCTAGTACATTTAAGCCATTCAGTGTATTTATTGTGAAGCAATATTTTATTGTTATGATTTTATTGAGATTCTTTTTTATATTGTTACTACTTACTTTGATCTAGCCTTGTTTTGTGACATCTTTGTGAGAAAGACTTCCTTCATTATTTCCAGCAACGTTGGTCTTGTTTTTACAAATTCCCTTAGTTTCTGCTTTTCTGAGAATATCTTGATCTCTCTGTCATATTGGATGTACAGTTTTGCTAGATACAGTACTTTTGGTTGAAAGTTGTGTTCTTTGAGTGTTTGATATATGACTTTCTCACTGCCTTTTTCTGCTTCTTATTCTGGGATTCCCATTAAGTGCATGGTTTTCCTTTTGATTGTGTCCCACATCATCCTTGTTGTTGTTGTTATCTGCCATCGAGTTGTTTGCGACTCATAGTGACCCTATGTACAACAGCCCTAAACTCTGCTCTGTCCTGTGCCAATCGCACTGTCTCTGACACTCCCATCCTGATTATCCCAGTCACTGAATCAATCCACCTCATAGAGGGCCTTCCCCTCCTGCGCCTGCCCTCCACCCTACCAAGCATGATGTCCTTCTCCAAGAACTGGTCTCTCCTTACAGCATGCCCAAAGTATGTTAGACGGAGCCTCAGAATCCTTGCCTCCAAGGAGCCACCCGGTTTAACCTTTTCCAGGACAAATGTGTTTGTTTTCCTAGCAGTCCATGGTATTCTCAATACTCTTCTCCAGCACCACAGCTCAAAGGCATCAATTCTCCTTCTATCCTCAGGCTTTCTTGAGAGCTTGTTTGGAGGTTCTAGCAGGGGAGTGCAGCTACTCGTATAGTCTTGACCGAAGGACGGTCTTCCTTCTATCCGGGATGGTCGTCCTCTTCAACCAAGTGCGCAGCTTCGGGAGGGACGCACATGGATCGGTGAGGGAGGAAGGGGACACCCGCCTAGCCAGCCAGATCAGCCGAATCAACCCTGGCGATCAATGGGGTGACAGATGTCGCAGCCAGATCGCCCTCACATCCAATCCTCAGGCTTTCTTTATTTTACTTTTTATTTTGAGTCTGCATTTTGCCCTAACAGATCAATTCTGAGAGCTCTCTCTCCTATTTAACTGACTCTGTTCTCCACCTCTTCAGTTGTGCTCATCTGTCCCTTCAGCATGTGTATTGCTTCTGAGGGGCTGGCTGGTCTTCATATTGCTGTTTCTCAGTTTTATAGGGTTTCTAATACTGCATTTGTTGTATCTGTAGTTTCTTCAATTGTTTAAGTTCTTCTTGGTTTTTGCTTGTAGAATCTTGCAATTCTTCAAGTTTTTCTTTCTCCCATTGAAATTATTCAATCATTGTTCTTTTGAGTTCTGTGTCAGACTTTCTGGCTTGGGAAATCTGTTGATTCTGTCTTTTTATTCCTTTTTTGGGAGTGAAATCTGGTTCTTGTGTAAACTGTGAGGTAGTTGTTTCTTCCATGTCATGACTGTGATAGAGTTTTTTCTTGCCTGGAACCCTAATAGGACCTTGGTCTGATTACCTTGGTTGGGAAGCTCACTGCTCCAGAAAAGAGACAGCTCACCCTGCCTGAATGTCTCTCAGGTCCCTGGGCTCACAGGAGGACCTGCTTCAGTTGGGGAGCCCAACCCTCCAGTGTAGAAGGGAGGACAACTCACCCTGCCTGTGGTCCTTCCTCTGTGGTGGCCAAGTTTGCTTGCATGAGAGTGAGGGGGAAAGGTAACTGCTTCTGTTTATGCTTCTCTTATCTTGCAGTTAAGTTCTTCTCTAGGGTGGAAGGCTTATTGTTTTCTGATTGCAGCCCTCTCTCCTGAAGTCTATAGCCCTCCTTGATCTGTAGAGTGGTGTGTCCTATTCCCTGTCTTCACCACTCTCTCTGATCGGTGTTTTTTTTTTTTTTTTTTGCGGAAAGGACCTTATCTCTGTTCTTTTGCTCCAGGCCTGTATTCCTGTGGCTGCTGGTTACTAGGGCTTTCCAATTAAGGCACACGGTGGTTGGCAAAACAGCATTATTTCCCTGGAAAGGGCAATGCCTTTGCTGGATCCTGAGTATTGGTGTTGCCTCTTTACCAGCTGTGGTTGGAGGTTGCAAGCTCCTTGGGGAAGCTGGCAGGCTTCGAAGGGTGGGGCTTCACAAGGAGAGGCAGAGTGTGGCCGGAAACCAAGAGCATCTTCTACTTGATCAAGATGACATTGGTTAAAATCATGCATTGACAGGCAGAGTGGCTCCTGGAGTGAAGCCAAGTGTAGAAGTGGAGGTTCTGCAGTTTCTGGCTGCAGGGTGGAGGTTGCAGGCTTCTCAGAGAAGCCCTCCTTTCCTGATTTTGAAAAATGCTCAAACCAAAGTTTCCTTGCTCTGTTCTGACAACTGCTTCCCAGTAGAAGTAAAGATATGGAGACAACATGGATGAATAGCAGAGGATGAATGTATATAGAAATTATGATGCATTTATACAATGCAACAGTGAAAAACGATAAAAAACCCACATAAGGTGGATGAATCTAGAGGACATTATGCAGTGACAGAAGGACAAAAATCAAAGGATATGGTTATATAGTATTACCTATTGAGACAGTGATTGGATATAAAACTGCTTGTTTGTATTTTTCCCTAAAGTGAGAAAACATTAGCTCTACTAATATTCTGATTTTACCTTTCCTGTTTGTGTTCTGTCTGTGATCGACATTCTTTTCCTCTGTCAGGATATGTCATTTCCATACCTTTAATATTCCTTGGATGTGTTTCAAAACGTGTAACGTCTTGTTTTATTCTCTAGGAATACTTGTAGGTTGTGCATAATTACTCATGGCACAAAGTTCCTTAAAAAAACAAACAGTAATAACACTGAAATACCCACTACTCCAGGTGCTGAGCACATTTGAGAATATTAAAGTGTGGTTTTTGCCATGAGACCAAAGAAAGAAAAAGTTAAGTCTTTGACCTTTGTAGTGTGGGACAGTAAAAATTAACAAAGGAATGGATGTGCCAAATACATGTTGTTGTTGTTAAGTGCCGTCGAGTTGTAGATGACTCATAGAGATCCTGTGAACGAAAGTCCTCAACACGTGTGTGACTTTCATCCTTTCTCCAGATTCATAGGGTTTCTGGAGGCAAGCTATTTACAAAAGTGGATGCGCTCCTGCTTCCAAGCTTCTTTTAATCGGGGAGCGCCACCAAACACTGTCCACCATGGGTAACCATTCTCACATTTGACACACCAGTGTCACAGTGTTCAGCTTCACAGCAAGCACAAGTTACCTCTGTACGGCAAGTGGACATACCAGGGCTAGACGACCTAGAAGAATGTTTGGCCAAACACAATTAAAAACAGGCCTGAAGGCCGTGGATTAGAGTCACTCACCTTTGGCTTGGTGGCATCGCTAATAACTCTCTCCTTTGGTCCTTTTTCTCTTACAGCTCCATTGAGAACCCGAAGTGGATGATGCTGTTACTGCTGAACCACTGACTAGAGTCTGAAAGATCTTCCTCTGCCTGTTGGCCATCAGTTGAGATAAGATGGAAGACTCTTACAAGGATAGGACTTCACTGGTGAAAGGTGCCAAGGACATTGCCAAAGAGGTGAAGAAACAAACCGTGAAAAAAGTGAACCAAGCAGTGGACCGGGCCCAGGATGAATACACCCAGAGGTCCTACACTCGGTTCCAGGATGAAGAAGATGATGATGATGACTACTACCCACCGGGAGAAACCTACGATGGGAAGGTCAACGATGATGAAGGCTCAAGCGAAGCAACTGAGGGCCATGATGAAGATGATGAGATCTATGAAGGGGAATATCAGGGCATCCCCAGCATGAACCAAGGCAAAGACAGCATCGTTTCTGTGGGGCAGCCCAAAGGTGATGAGTTCAAAGACCGGCAGGATCTGGAGTCTGAGAGGAAGGCCGATGAAGAAGAGCTAGCCCAGCAGTATGAACTGATAATCCAAGAGTGTGGTCATGGCCGTTTTCAGTGGGCCCTTTTCTTTGTCCTGGGTATGGCCCTGATGGCTGATGGTGTGGAGGTGTTTGTCGTAGGCTTCGTGCTGCCCAGTGCCGAGACAGACTTGTGCATTCCCAACTCAGGATCGGGATGGCTAGGTGAGTACGTCATGTCTTGGAGATATAAATTGCTTATTTGTGGAATACAGTTAATACTTTTAATCTATGTCACTGCGTCCCTCCCCCAGCAATTTATTAAGAAAAATTTTTAATATCAGCAGCAAAAGAGTGGTACTGTGAACCTCTGTACATATCAACCTTCTAGATTCTCTAGTTAAAAGTTACTGTATTTTCTTGATTACTTTAATGAAGGTCCTTGGGAGTTCTGTTTTGCTGTATACATGACTACTAACCTAAACATTTGTGGTTTAAATCCTCCCAGAAGCACTACATAAAAAATGCTTGGCAATCTGCATCAGTAAAGACTACAGCCAAGAAAACCCATTTCTGCTCTGCAGCAAAGAGGGTTATTATGAGTCAGAAGTGGCTGGTAGCACCAGGCTTGTTTTGGTTTGGAGACCTCTATGCTTCTTTCTATCCATCTATCAAGTCAATGTATTTTTTAAAAAATCTGTTTTAATCTCGGTCACAAAAGGATAAATACTACATAATGCCACTGTTGTAAAGCGAGACTGACATCAGGGTTGGGGGAAAACTAAGAAAAGAGAGGTTAAATAATGTAGACTGCATTGAAACAGATGAGGAAGAGAACTATTTAAAAGGGATATGTGATTAGGTATTATTGTCATGAAAGGAGTCTAGAACGAAGGCTGCATGGTAGAGTGGACTGGGGGGAGGGATTGTATAACAGTGAAAGAATTTTTCTTTATACTTTCAAAGGGAAGAGCGAACTTGGGGGCAGGGGTGGGCAGGGAGAAAAGTGCAACAATGAATGAATGGAAATTCAAAGTCTCTGTAAACTTTCATTAAAATTAATAATAAAAATGTATTTTATTTGAGCAAAAATTTACATATATCACAGATTTTCTAATGCAGTCATTCATAGCAGTAATTATCATTAATTGGGGGAACTCTGGTGGCCTAGTGGCAAGAAGCTACACTGCAGTCCTGAAGGTGCAAGGTTTGAGTCCACCATATACTCGGCTGAAGAGAGGGGCAATCTCCTCCTGTGCCAGTTGGATCCGATTTGACAGTACATGTTTGCATTAAAAAAAAATTATCATTAATTGATGCAGTTAACTTACTACAGTATCTGTGTAAACCCTTAATCTAGTGCATTTTTTAATAATTTAAAAGTAAATTGTTTTTGTTGTTAAGTGCCCTCGAGTCGTGGACGACTCGTCGTGATCCTATGAATAAAAGACCTGAACGCTTGTATAACTTTCATCATTTCTTATGTAAGTTGCATTAGTTATATTTATTACTTATATGTAAGTTGCAGAGAACTTATATATAAGTTGCATTGATTTCTTCTTCATTAACTCCCAAAAGTGTACCCTGGGAAGTTGAATAGAGCACTATTTTAAGAAAATTACTTGATGCTTTTCTAGATACAGAGGTTAATTCTACAAAACTCTGAGAAATGTGATTTTCAAATTCTAAGTTTTTTGTATCGTATATGTTTTAAACGTTTTTAGATTCTGCCACTTTTCACTCTCCCTATAAATGATGTGCATGTTTGATCATTTCTGGTTTATTCATAGAATTTCTCTCAGTGACTCTGTCTCTGTCATGCTTTGCACATTTTACCTAATGAGGAGTAATTTAATTTCCTCATAAGATTCAAACATCTATTTCAAATCAGGTTTGAAGGGCTTGGTTTTGAAATAGCATGATCTTTCTGAGAAATATCTGAACAACAGATTTGTTTTTGTTTTAATGTTACCATGCACTACAGGTCCATTTTCTTATACATAGTTAACATTTCATGAGCTTGTGAAAGAAAGTATGAGGACACCACAGAAAAGGCACTGTAAAGTACCAATAGCACCTTGACAGTCCACTTCACACACACAAGACACGACATCGTGAGGATTCCCTAACTCCATTTGCAAAGCTTGCCTCCAAAAATTGTGTTTATATGGATATTAAATCTTTATGTGTTTCATAGTCTGTGAAAGAAATTAAGAATACCGTTATTTTCTTTTTTAAAAATTATTATCAAATTTTATTAGTTTTAATGAACATTTACAGAGATTTTGCGTTTTCATTCATTCATTGTTGCACTGTTTTCTCTACCCTCCTCCCCAGTTCGTTCTTCTTCCCCCCCTTCAATGTCTGTTTTAATTGTCCAATTGCCACAGTGCTTGTCAAAGCCAGTTCTGATTAATCTCCTTTGTCAGTGTGTTCTTTGCCATTTCCTATCACTCCTCCCTGAGAGAGACTTCACCCTGATTCATAAGGAAAAGGGGACGGCATATTCTCTTAGCTACTTCCAGCTGCAAAGGCACGCTGTGGGTTTCAGGGTGAAGATCTTCTCTCACTGTTCTAAAGGACCCCTTTGGCTGTAGGAAACACATAGACTATTATGGAGATTGATTTTGGAATTTAGATGCAACTGTTATCAGTTGTGCTTAGCCGTACATGTTCATATCCTTGAAGTTGTATCATAGAAGTGTTGCAGCCTAGAAGACATAAATTTAGCTAACAAGTTAAAAGTACATGAGTCAAAAATTAAAAAGCAATAATATTCCTAGTAGAGGTTCTAATAGTAGCATAAATCAAGTTACAGAGAGAAGGTGGTTCTTACAATAAAAGGCCTATAGACTAGCACTTTGTCTATTATAGTGTAGAGGTTAGGAACCTCAGGATGTAGAGGCTCAGCTCTGTCATTTACTGTTCTTAAGTCCTGGAGCAAATTCCATCTACCACTGGGTTGTTTTACAACTTGGAAGCCAGCATGCAAGGCAGAGGTGAAGTAAGGAACTGCTTATGAGGTTTTCCATCCATTCCAACAACTAAGAAATAGTGAGAAGAGTTGGGACCTCAGAAGGCTTTTAGGACCAATTAGTAGTCTCTGTGTTGTTATTTTCTAAAGGAGAATTTTTGGTTGAACAATTAGAAATTCAGCCTCTAACCAAAAGATTGATGGTTCCAACCCATCCAACTCCTCACAAAAGAAAGGCCATCTGCTCATGTAAAGATTGCAGCCTGAAGACCCCAACACTTATATGTGTGTTCAACCATTGGAATGTAGCTGTGGGGTCATTATGAGTCAGAATCAGTTTGATCACAGCCAACAGCAACAGCATATTTTCTTTAAATTAAAGATTAAAAAATGTATGCAAATATCTTTGTGGAAATGTCATCACTTTATTGAATAATGTGATAGTTATTGATGTCATGAGAAATTTTCTGTATTATTATGACAGTATTATTTTAAGTTCTTGTAGGATATTGTAATAGATAAAATCATAAATGAGAAAATGTTTACATGCTTTCCATTTTTTGCCTTTGGTATTTGTTTCTTTTCTATGCCTCATTCCTAACCTGTGAAATACATCCCTGAAAGCAGTTGTGTAGTGCATTTGGTGGGAAGGAGAGGTACTACATTGCATGCTTTTCCTGGTAGAATCATTTGTGTGTTCAGCCATCCAAATACAGAATATGCTTTTAAACAGAGTCCTTCATCTCTTGCCAAATGGATCATTTCAGCACATTCATGTTGTATCTAGTGCTATATTTCTTTTTAGTCTTTGATGAGTGAGCATACTCGTTTTAAGCCTCTGCTGCAAAATGTGTATCAAGGTTTTGTTCAAGGAATATATCAGTAGTCTGTTTCCAGAGCATAGATTCTTAGAAATACATCCACTCTAATATCAAATAATTGCAGGCTTATGTTCAGAATAAAATTCTATTCATGTTACAACTCTAGCTTTTTTATTGAAAGTATTACAGGAAATCCAAGCTAAGCTTACCCTTGTGGCTTTATCTTCTTGGCACTGAGTGGAAGCACAGTATCACATGTTGTTCTCTTCTCAGGCTGTCCTATAAACCTGTAAGCCCTGATGGTCATTCACACCCCTGAGTGGCATTCAGAACTGTAGATAATGCTGCAGAACAATTGGGAAGGCACCAATATTTTCATAGGCTCGTGAATGTTGCCTGCTTTAGTGAATTAAAAATGTGTCCTCAGGAGTGTATAGTTTCACTCAATGCTCTGAATTCCCGACAGAAGCATTTTAATAATTTCATCACCATGCCTTTCAGACTTGCATTTCAATTATTTTGCCATTGTAATTTCACTCATAATTGCATTCTAACAGAGTCTTTTTAGACAAGCATTTAAATTGTTTTGCCATTTTCATTTCACCGAATAATAGCTTTGTAATATAATTACCACACTAAGTCATAGCAATGAGATCAAAATGCGAGAAAGAAAGATGTGTGGCCTATGTTTGGTGGCATTTGGAGGATATGGATTTGCAAAATAAATTCTCATTTGTTACTAAGTATTGTGTTATTTTCCTCAAGGAAGAGCAGGAATAAAATATGAGCTAGTTTGTGTTTTAATTATTTGGTAAATGGCTCCTTTCTTTGTGGTTACCAGAAGATTGATGTCAAGGTAGCACAGAACTTACTGTGTATCTGTGTGTATAGACTGTCTGTAGATGTAATAATGTTGATTGGGCTGGGAAGAACTAGAGTAAATATTTAATTACCTAATAAACTTCTCTTTGGTGTAATAAGTACAGTCATTTTAAAAGAAATCCCCTTTTTTTATTGCCACTGTCTATTTATTTACCTCAGAGGAGAAAAGGAAAGAAAGAAAAAGTTTCTGTATTCAATGAAATAATAGGGTAGCATGGAGGAATCAGAAATGTTTACAGATTACAATTCCAAAAAATTAAGTATACATTAAAATATAATGTCGTTTGCTTTTTAATTATTTTAAATTATTTGTGTGTGTGTGTACCGTCAAATTGGATCTGACTGGTACAGGAGGAGATTGCCCCTCCTTCTCCAGCAGAGCAACTGGTGGATTCAAATTGTGTACCTCTGGGATTGCAGTGCAGCTTCTTTCCACTAGGCCACCAGAGCTCCCTTGTTGTTTGCTTTTGTGTGTTGGATGTCAATTTTCAGTTCAGAGTGACCCCCAAGTGACACAGTAGGACCATATCAGAGGGTTTTTTCTTTGC